GCAAACATGTGTGTTTGAAGACCGAGGTGCCCCGGACCCAAGCCATGGTTATTTCTATCGCCTCATATATGTGTGAAAGTTGGACACTTAATAAGGAAGTTAGACGTAGAAGAATTGATGCATTTGAGTCATGGTGTTATAGAAGAATATTAAAAGTACCATGGGACTGCCAGAAGAACCAATAGTCTGGGTTGCCAGAAATGGAGAAGGAATCATACATAGCAAATTGGAGGGTCAGCAAAAAAGAGGAAGATTTCCAAGGAGACAGACTGACAACAGTGGCAGAAGCAAATGGGCTCAAGTGTACCAATAATTGTGAGGAGAGTGCAGAACTGGTTAGTGTTTCTTTCTGTTGTGCACAGGATCGTTATGAGTCAGAATTAGCTTATCAGCACTGAAAAACATTTCTTTCCCATCTTTCTTTATCTACTGACAAAAGGCAGAACTAAAGTTAATATTTTTTAATTTGAGCATGGAATACTGCACGTAAATATAGGAACACACAACTACGGAATCCAAAGAAAAACTTATTTCTTTAGCCTTTAGAGATATGACACTAGATAAATCTAAATCTTACATATTTAAAGTCATCATTCACTGCTTATATCAAATTAGTATACTTGCAAAGTTATCATAGATGGTCCAAGGTAGGACTAGATTTGTCTTCTTTACACGCATAATTTCAGTAACAATGAAAAGTCATTATAAAATATTTTTTTAAAAAGTTGGCAATATGGGTACTGATACTAAATTGACAAGTCTGTTTATAAAAGTGAGCTGGTAAAGCAACTACCTTGAAGAACAGTTCTTACTAAATATATGTTGAAAGATGGTTTATAGGAAAATAATGATACATATGGAAATATTTAGAAAAAGCTTGGCTGAAAATAGCCAACCTTGTCAACAGTAGGAGATACGAATAGTAGACACATTATCCAATTCTAAAAAACTCACCAATCTTACCTGGCATTGCAGTTAAGTCACCAGCAAAACAAAAACAAATTACAGTGAATCCTACTCATAAGATTGCTCAAAACATCAACTGGGTTGAAAAAAGTAACACTGAGAATCTTTCATAATGGTGTAGAAATGAAGATAATAAAAAATTAGCACAAATGACAAAATAACATCTTTTATTACCATCTATGATTTTAGGAATTTCTTTAGTAATAATCCATTCTCCAGGCTGTAGCAGAGACTGTCCATAATACATATCAGATTCTGCACTTGTACTTGAAAATGCAGAGCTACTGGAAGGTGTCAATTCATCAAGTTTGAAGAAATCTAGGCCAGTTATTGTGCCACCAAAGAATCTGCAGCCACCAAGACAACCACACTTGTTCCTACACCTCTTATTCTTCAGAGTATCATCTGGCCACAAAAACCACAACCTAAATGGAACCGAAAACAAACAAAAAAGTAACAGAAGATTCATTAAGAAATTAAAAAAAAATAAAAAAATACAGGCAGATAATGAAGCAAATGTAAGTTAATTGTTAATATTTTCTAAAGACATGGCAAACACACAACACTTATCTCTACTGAGGTATGTCTTTTTAAATGTTTTACCTTTCTATCTAGCCCAATGTGGGATGCAAATATGTAGGAACAACAATAATAATCTATAGTATACATAGATAAGAAAATGAAAAGTTAAAACAAGTAAACATGAAAATCAGATAAACCTATTTTAAAACAGCAGTAAATATTCTTAAAAATACTAAAATTTTAAGATATCTATAAATAGATTAAACTATTAATGTATATTTTGCTTAACAGATAACTTACTATGTCTAGCATATGAGGATACTTCAATGACAACTTTAACACATCAAATTGTCTATAAACAAAACTAAAATAATATAGTACCCTATATTACAGCAAAAATATTATCTATCTTTCCTTATGATAATGACAAAAAGATATTAATAATAATGACAATGATTTACTAATAAAGAATGTAGATAAAATTTTTAGGCTCTCTTTAAGAGATCCACATACAAGTATTTCAGTTTTGTTTTCTCTCCTTTCCTTCTTATAAAATGTTAGATAGTACAAAAAAATCATTAAATATGGAAGATATATCTTTATTACCTTCCTTATATTGACAATCCATTTTTTTCAAGTATTCTCAAGTGTCTTATCTTCTTCAGAGGCTGACAGAATACACATTACAATCTTCATTCTACATTTATTCAGTTGAAAATTTACTGAACTTATCTACTATGTGCCTAGTCTCATGCTAGGCAAAGTTAATAGAATCTTTATCCATATGAAGTTAACAGTGGATTGTTGTTGCTGTTGTTAAGTGCCATTGAGTCAGTTCTGACCCAGAGCGACCCTGTATAGGGTTTCCAAGGAGCGACTGGTAAGCTTGAACCTCCAACCTTGCAGTTCAAATGACCTTGCAGTCCAGCGCATTAGCCAATAGCACCACACCAGGACTCCAGTGGATAGGCAAAGACAAATCTTAACCAAGCATATAATTTCTAATCAGAAACTGTTGTAAGTACTATGAAATAAAGAATAGGGAACTGTGACAAAGAAAACAGGAAATCTTTCAGGAGGTAATATAATAAACAAGAGATGAGATGGAGTGAGTATATCAAATTAGAGCCAGAACAACAATCAGAGAAGACAAGCAAAATATGTGAAAAGACTTTAAGCTAAGGGAGAATTTGAGGTATTACTTCAATTAGATATTGTTGTATTGTTGTTGTTGTTGTTAAGTGCCATCGAGTCAGTTCCGACCCATAGCGACCCTGTACAGGGTTTCCGAGGGTATAAATCTTTACGGGAGTAGAAAGCCTGATTTTTCTTCCGCAGAGCAGCTGGTAATTTCGAACTGCTGACCTTAAACTTTGCAGCCCAATTCGTAACCACTACGCTTGTAGGTACTGTCATGTATGTTTGGTCTCACAGAAACCCTGTATAGGATTTTCAAGGCTGTAAATCTTATGGGAATAGAAAGCCTCATCTTTTTCCCCATGGATTGGCTAGTGGACTAGAACTCAGGACCAGTATTTACTCTACAGTACAACTAGTGCTACTTAAAATATAGCATCCAGTATCCAACCGTGGTCTCCCATCTAAGCCTACTTCGCTTCTGAGATTAGCCAAGATTGACCACTTTCAGAATTGTATGGCCACCATGACATTATACATTTCAAATATCAATCTCAAATAATTTCTCTCGTTTAAAAAATCAAAAGTTAACAATTAAGCAACAATATTTTTAAATACTATCACAATAAAAGTCCTTCTTGTACTCCACAGAATTCTTTAATCTGTGCATCAAAAAGCTAAATCTAGGTTCAAATTCCAATTCTGCCAAGTACTAGCTCTAAAACTTTGGGCCAGTTAGTTAACATTTCTGAGCCTCAGTTTCCTAAATCATTGACTAGCAGGTTGATACATCTAATGAGGTTGCTGTAACCAAGTAGTTTGGAGCTTGTAAGAAAAAAATTGTGTTGTTGAATGCAAATAAACAGTCATATGAATCATTTAAATTAAATTGTGAACTTCTGGTTAAATACAGAATAAACAACAACAAAAAAGGGGGATATTTCTGTGAGGATTAAGTGATATAACATAAGTAAAGTACCTGGAATATAGTCAAAATTACACAACTAATGTTAGTTTCCCTCCCTAACTTTAAATAATCCAATTACTACATCTTCAAACTTTAACTTACATCAGAATCACCTGTGTTGTTGTTAAGTACTGTGGAGTCGGTTCTGACTCATAGTGACCCTGCACAGGGTTTGCGAGGCTGCAAATCTTTATGGGAGCAGAAAACCTCAGCTTTCTCCCATGGAATGGCTGGTAGTTTCAAACTGCCAACCTTGAAGTTAGCAGCTCGATTTGTACCCACTACACTACCAGAGATCCTGTAGGACTTGTTAAAATATAGATAGTGCTCTACCCACAGTTTCTGAAGGATCTCTGGTAGCTTAGTGGGTTGAGTTGGGCAGTTAACTGCAAGGTTATCAGTTCAAATCTACCAACTGCTCTGCAGGAGAACTATGAAGCTTTCTGTTCCTGTTAAGATTTACAGCCTTGGAAATCCGATACAGAATCACTATGAGTCAGGATCGACTCCATGGCATATCACCACCACCACCACCACCACCACCAAGCATAGCTTCTGTAATAGACCTAAGAAGACAGAGTCCTGGTAGTGTGGTGGGTTATGAGTTGGTCTGCTAATGGAAAGGTCAACAGTTTCAATCTACCAGTCACCCCATGGGAGAAAGATGAGGCTTTCTGTTTCCATAAAGGTTTACAGCCTTGGAAACCCTATACAAAGTCACTAGAAGTTGGAAATGACTCCACATAACACAACCAAAACCATCACCAGGTTTGAAAGAATCTGATTATGTAAATTTTTACAATTTCCCAGAAGATGCAGATGCTGAAGGTTCTAGCCTATACTTTCAAGAAACACTAATCTATGACAGGGAACATGGTAGTTCTGTAGGATAACTACTAGATTGTAAACCACAGTTTGAGTGTTCAAGCCCACCAGATCCTCTGTGGGAGAAAGATGAGGTGTTCTTCTACCACACAGATTTACAGCCTCAGAAACCCTATACCGGGTCACTATGAGTCAAAATCAACTAGATGGCACTTAACAACGTAAAAACAATCTAATGACATGAACGGCTTATGAATCGGGTTGCTTTTCTAGTGATGTAAGGAATAATTATATGTTTAGCAAAACTACTGGAATCAAACATACATAAAAGCACCCAAAGCTGAAGATCATGTGGTGGTTGTGGTGGTATGCCATGGAATCGGTTCCGACTCATAGTGATCCTGTACAGGGTTTCCGAGGCTGTAAATCTTTACAGGAGCAGAAAGCGTATCTTTCTCCCACAGAACAGCTGGTAGTTTTGAACTGCTGACCTTGAGGTTAGCAGTCCAATTTGTAACCACTACGCTACCAGAGCTCCTTGGAGATGCAATCCACCATGGCCCCCAAGCATTTGGCATGTTCTTGCTGGGTATGCCCAGAATATAGGGCTCTGACTACTCTATCTAGGAATTTCTCAGGTCATGTTTACACCTTAAAGGATGAGGAAATGTCTTAGTTTGAAATAGAACTTTGCATTGACTTAAGATGAAAACAGCAGATCCATAAGCTCAGTATTCCTCCTCTACAACACAACACACTATGTGTGCAGTGATTCATTCCTTTGAGTCACTTCCAAGACATTTAGGGAGAGAGATTTTTAATTAACAAATAAAAAAGAAAATAAGTATGTCTGATGCAGTATTTTCATGACTGTCAGTTTGTTGTACTGTGGTGGCTTGTGAGTTGCTGTGATTCTGGAAGCTATGCCACTGGTATTTTAAATACCAGCAGGGTCACCCATGGTGGACAGGTTTCAGACGAGCCTCAAAACTGAGACAGACTAGGAAGGAAGACAAAGAGGCAGATCATTGCTGAATGGACAGCTACTGAAAACCATATGAACAGCAGCAGGACACTGTCAGATAGAAACAGAATACTGAAACACTATGAATATCATCATAATATTGCTAGATATAGTGCCTGAAAATAAGCCCCTCAGATTGCAAGGTACTAAAAAATATGACAGGAAGAGTGGCCTCCTCAAAGTAGAGCTGATCATGATAATGCAAATGGAGTAAGGCTTTGGGACCTTTACTTGCTGATGGGGCACAACTTAAAATGAGGAGAAACAGCTGTAAACATCCATTATCAAAAAAATCCATTAGTAATTGGAACATGAACTATACCATGTAAGAATCTAGGAAAATTGGAAGTTTTCAAAAATGAAATGGAACGCATAAACATCAATATCTCAGGCATTAGCTGAAATGGACTGGGTGTTGGCCATTTTGAATCTGACAATCACATGGTTTACTGTGTGGGAATCACAAATTGAAGAGGAGTGGTGTCACATTCATCATCAAAAAGAACATTTCATGATCTTTTTTGAAGTATAATGTTGAATGTGATAGGATTATATCTGTACGCCTAAAGGAAAAACCAGCTAATAATTAATACCACTGCTACTCAAATTGATGAACCAACTATTAAAGGCAGTGATGAAGAAACTGAGGTATTCTACCAAATCCTTCAGCCTGAAATTGATCAAACATGATATCAAGACGACTGATAATTACTGGTGAATGAAATACAAAGGGTGGAAACAAAAAGGAAGGATCAGGAGCTGGAAAATATGATCTTGGAGATAGAAATGATGCTGGAGATCACATGATATAATTTTGCAAGGCCAATGACATTTTCATTGCAAATACCTTTCTCAACAGCATAAAAAGAAACTATACACATGGACCTCACCAGATAGAATACACAGGAATCAAACTGACTACATCTGTGGGAAGGGGTGATGGAGCAGCT